GAGAGAGAGAGAGAGAGAGAGAGAGAGAGAGAGAGAGAGAGAGAGAGAGAGAGAGAGAGAGAGAGAGAGAGAGAGAGAGAGAGAGAGGTCATAGTTTGTATTCTGTGCCATAGAGGTAGGGTGCAGGCTTCCTCCTTTACCTTCGCTCCTATCTCCATCTCTAGCCAGCCTCAGCATGAGAACTCACCGCGGATAAAAGAAGCAGAAAAGGAAATAGATCCGTGTCCGCAGGTGGAGGAAACAAAGCCTGCTCTCTGCTGCATGTGAGCGGATCATCACTGGAGAAGAAGTCCGCCTATAAGACGCGATATGGGCCAACATATGGGGGCCAGCCCCGGGTCAGTGCTCAGTTCTTTCTTTATTCTGTATTATGAGCAGGCGGCTGTGTAGAGGAGCTAGTTCCTGTCCAGAGAGGAGGCGGAGGAGGCGGAGGAGGAGGAGAGACACACAGAAGGGTGTCGACGGAGAGAGGTAGGGGTAGAGGAGAAGAGGAGGGGAGGAAGAATAATATAGTAATATTACAAGCTTCCAATAATGGCGGCTAAATCGGACGGGGTCTTGAAGATAAAGAAGAGCGACGTTGCCTTCACTCCGTTGCAGAACTCGGAGCACTCCGGCTCGGTGCAGGGGCTCCACGCGGGAGCCCAGCCCGACTCTGCGGGCACCGGGGACTTCGCGAACGGGGAGTCGCGGTGCTGCGGCGGGCGAGGCTCCGGCTCGACGTGCCTCCGCCTGGTGAGAGAGCAGCAGAGGTACACGGTGTGGGACTGTCTGTGGATAGTAGCCGCAGTTGCAGTGTATCTTGCGGATGTCGGCACCGACGTGTGGCTGTCGGCGGACTACTACCTCCGCGGCGAATACTGGTGGTTCGGCCTGACGCTCTTCTTCGTGGTGCTGGGCTCCTTCTCCGTGCAGCTCTTCAGCTTCAGATGGTTCGTCCACGACTTCAGCACCGAGGACGGCTCGGAGTCCTCCGTGGATTGCTCCCACATGGATGGGAACAAGCTGCTGAGCGGCTCCGCCTCACAAGGGGATGTGACTGCGCAGCACCACCCGGCCACGCCGCAGAGACAGGCGTCGACCGCCAGCAAGAACACCACCACCAACAGCACCAGCAGCACCGCGGCGGGCCGGGGAAGGAAGCGTCCGGCCTACTACTCCTTTTGCGTGTGGAGCAGCCAGTCCGTCCTCCACATCTTTCAGCTGGGCCAGATATGGAGGTATTGGGGCCTTGGGATGAGTAACAAGTGTGTGTGTGTGTGTGTGTGTGTGTGTGTGTGTGTGTGTGTGTGTGTGTGTGTGTGTGTGTGTGTGTGTGTGTGTGTGTGTGTGTGTGTGTGTGTGTGTGT